TCAGTGGTCTAAAACTGTCTTTAAAGCTCCACCTCATTTGCCAAAAACATTGCACCTGACTGTGTTTGAACTAAAACACCCACAACAGACAAAAAGGTAGACTATAAATGCACTTTGGATCTTCTTTCAGTGCCATGAAACCTTTTCCTCTAAGACTTGGAGGGTCTGCTTACACCAGTAGTTTTGTGCTGTTCATCGGTAATACATTTCACTATGACAGAAAACTGTGATTTTATTTTCAGTCATTAATCTGTGGGGCATAAAAATAAAACCAAAAAACAATTTGTGATCAACTAAAAGGTCTATACCTCAATACTTAAGACAAATAATAGTTACCAGCAAGTCAGACTGTATGATGCCTAGTATACTGTAACATATAGCTCATGAGTACAGACTGTATGCATTGCATGTCTCTGTGTGTTTACTTGCATTTGATGCCATTAGTTGTCAGTTAGAGCTCAGTTAGTTCTCTAGTATTGAACATTGGAGCTCTTGGATATCTTCCAGACACAGCTACAGTCATTAGCATTTTAGTTAGCTGTGTGTGTAACTGACTTGTAGTTAAAATGCTTTACCTTCCACCACTCCCATGTTGTGTATATCTGTCAAGCTGATATTACAGGCTACAGTCAGAGCACAGAAGTTGAAACTGGACACTTGAGACATTCAAGACTAAACCACAAATATGAGCACAGGCACACACGCACACGCACACACACACACAAACACACAGACAGAGAGAGAGAGAGAGAGAGAGAGAGAGAAACCTAAACACACAAAACACTATGTAATTGTAAATCAATAAACAATTACAGTACCATCATAACACACTGCTTACTGACCTCAGGTCCTTCGGCGCTGACTGCGTCTCCATTTTCCTGCTGTTTGTAAGAGTGGGCAACTGAAACAATAAAGGGTTGGCTGTCGTCTCATGTCTGGACACTCGTCAATTCCTGGACTGGCGGACTGCAGAGTTGTTTACACTTCATGTTACTGCACAACAACAGTGCGTTCATACAGATGGACACAAATTACACAAAGTTCTCAAGTGAAGGCTCTCCAATGGTTTCATGTGATTTCACATCTTTTCCCTTGAGAAGGGCAGGTCATGCAGCTCAGAGTTAGGCCCCTCATGTAGGTAGTGAGTTTAGCTACTGCAGATTATCTTGTAGCATGTACCAAGTCGCATTGTGCTAATTATCAAGGGTGTTGGTTTGGTTTCGGAAAGTTGGAAGAGACACAATAAAGTAAAAATAAAGACAAAAGAGCTAATAGCATATTAGGATTATTGGCGATTGTGCTTTTCATAGTCATGGTAGTATAACAGATAATGCAGTATGTAATCCTCTGTATTGTAACTCTACAATCATTGTGGCCTTTATAGATATGTGATACTTTGAGACAATGTTTACAATAAACATTTGCAGCAAAGAACACTGTGCTATGGACTAATGTGCAATTCTAGCATACTTTTAGTACAATAACTGCAAACTGCAATGATTGCAAAATTGGTTAAATGATTCAAACAGAATAAGCCCAGGATTTTGAAAGAAAAGAATAAGAACTCTCCCGTTTGACCAACAAGTGTTCAGACAGAGGGTTTTCTCATTTCTTTGCTTGCATTCACTACTGAAGTATTTTTAGTATTGTGTTGTTTTAGTGTTTGGCTACAGGTTTACGATACACCATAACTATCTGTACATGAACAGATAAAGAGAGAGTGTGTTTCAGGGGAATATGTGGGACATTCTGAGCTTTACAAAAAAAAAAATTAAAAAAAATCATATCACTCTTACTTTGTTACTTTTCCTTATTTCTGTTTGGAAAAACACAAAACATGTTGTGTTTTGGGATCACAGTTGGGTGATGTAAGCTGGAGGTATCTCGTTGCCATGGAGTCAGTGAGTCAAAGTAATTGTGGGCTGCACCTTGAGCCCACCTGTTTTTATCCTACATTTGCTCCTGTTTGCACTGTAACCATGGATGCACAGACATAATGAACTGGAACTTAAAGCTATAGGGATTGTTTTTTTTCCTTTCATCATGTAGAAGCTGATTTATGAATGTTTATCTGTAATGGACAGAAGAGGAGGAAAAATGACTTGTGCTGATTTTGGCCTTATGTGGTTAACTTCTGTGTTTCAGAAGTGGCGGACCACAGTTATTATAAGACACACAATGACTGGGCCACAGACACAAACAAAAGATGGTCTTTCAAAGTGTGGCGTTATATTAAGAAAGTTTGTCCTCCTGGAGTAAAAAAGAAAAAAAACACTAAATCCATAGGTGACTCCACAGTGACTGATGTGCAGCCAATTCTGACCTCTGCCAGAGAAGAAAAGACATGTTTCTAACCACTTGAGAAGTGGATAGATGAAAAGCAGATAACACACTGAATGCATGCTGTTCAGCTGTCTGAGAGATTTAGATGAAGACAAGATTTAGTCAAATTCACACATCTTTATAAGACAGGACAAAATGGAAAAGGAGATCGTCTGATTGTTTGAAGACATTTTCTTAAGAGAGTCACATTAATACAAAGATCTATCATGGAATACCAGTATTTTATATACTGCAGTTGTTATACCACATTTTTATATTCTGTAACATGTGTACATGGTAATACTTTGCTTCAATACTTTGCAACTTTGCTTCAAAAAGTGATCAGTTAGTTCATCCAAGAAAAGAAAAAAGAAAAAAAAAAGAAAAACTTTTTAAAACAATATTCAACTCACCATGAAAGGATTACAATACCCTGCAAATGCTCACAGTCTGTGTCATAATGTCTTTAAGCGTTTATCTTTACCACAAGAGAATACACAAAAACTGAATGCTTTGGGTAACTCATTGGATTTGATCCTGCCTTTCATATAAAACACTTGAAATAACCGAATGCTCATTAATGATTTACATAGTCCCGAGGGGAACAGAGACAACACTGTGATACTGTGAGAATTCATGTCAAGATAATAAGGAAAAGATGTGAAGAGTTCCACTTCAAAACGTTACGTATCCAGATACAACATAAAATAAAATCGTTGCCTGAGGTTTTTCATTCATGTCGCAGAAATCTACAGGACCCCCCCCCCCCTGTAAAAATAAACTAATTTTGTCAACTGAGCATTTCATCATGAATGATTCTTGTAATATCATTTGGTTTGAGTTTGTTTTTTTCCTTTTTTTTTTGCTGTTAAGCTGTTTTTGGGGTGGGGGTCAGGGGGTCATGCTTTTTGGTCACATTTTGGAACAAAACTCTTCATGTTTTTCATGTTCATTAATACTGTAATTATCAAACATATGGAACGCATACCACAGAGTTAGCTGATCCATGTCCTTGATTCTTATTTTTGATGTACCGTCCATGAACGAACACAAGTTTCAGTGGCTCCTCTCTGGTGTAGAACCTCGGCATCGCTAAACATGCAAAGGCCACGAGTGCGAGGAAGAAAAGAGTGACTGTGAGTCAAGTACAAGTGATGGAAAACAAATCAGAATAGTAAAGAGGAAAAGTTTTCATTTTGTTTTTCCAAATGAAACTGTGAGGGAGGAAGCCATCGCGTTTCTTTTCATGGCTTGTGAAGTGGCAGGATGCTGATGGTATCCTCCTAGAATACTTTAAAGCAATCGTTCAGCATGGTGGAAAATACAATTATTTGCTCTCTTGTCAAGAGTTAGATGAGAAGAACGACACCACTCTCGGGCCTACAGGGTAAATATGAAGCTCAAGCAGCTGCTTAGCTTAGCTGAGGACATAAACTGGAAACAAGGGGAAACTAAAGCCGCTTTCATACAGAGATCCTGCTATATTGCCATTTAGAAAACCTTTGTGTGTTTTACATATCCTGCCAGCGTTCAGAAATCAGAGGCGTGACCTGTAACATAACAGTGTCGGCATCTGTCTCGCCGTCGCTGGCTCTCGTTTTCCAATCCATGGACTCTTTTGTTGAGCCTCTTATTGTCTTATTGGACTTTTTGGGAATGCTGTTTGTTAATGGCAGATAAAAAATATTCAATAAACAATGAAATTAGATCTTTCTTTTCTTTTTCAATATTTACCATATCTTAAATGTCAATGTGAATTTGAAAGATGTTTTCTTAGCCCAGAAGTCTTGATTTCACTTCAACTCACTAAAGCATATTACTAAAAACCTATTAAAACATATTGATTTCACAGGAGCTTTCGAGGTGTTTGGTGGGTGGATTTTGTTTGCTTTAGGCAGAGCTAGCTGATTTCCTGTTCCAGGTCCTTATGCTCAGCTAAGCTAATTGTCTCTTGGCTTTAGCTTCATTCTGAGCTGACAGATGATGAGAGTGGCATCAAACTCTTAGCAAGAAAATAAATAAGTGCATTTTCCCAGAACATCAAACCATTTCCTTATGTTACAGATTTCCTTAGCCTGTCAATGTTAGCCACACTCGTGTGCGTAACAAATGATTTATACTCTCAGTTACAAAAATGTTTTCTTTAGAGTGGAAAAGCAGTTTTACACCAAAAAGCCTGAAGATGACAGAACAGTTTCTCAAAGCATGTGTATGTGTCTGAGGGCTGTGGCGTAAGATATTACTCATCAACACATTGTTCTCACCATCAAAAGCAAATGAACTGGGAAGTGAATGTGAGGCTTCATCACCTCTTTGGAAACGTGTTGTGTTGACCCATGGCTCCGAGTCCCCCCGTTCTCCAAAGTCTGTGATGCAGTGTCAGTGGGCTTTTCAAACTGCATTCGCTGCCGTTCACCTTCAACACATAAGACAACTTACCAGCACTGACACAGGTAATTCCCAAGAGAAATCCCCTCTGGATTAGGATGAAAACAAATACCATATCTTTAAACTTTAGCCACCCAGATCACAGTCAGAAAAGGAACCAAAATAACATCCGAAAAAATAAGTTAACATAATTTTGACACATAGAATTTTACAATATGTACATTATTTTTTAAATTAAAATAGATTTGTCAGTTGTCTGATTGGGTAGGTTCTCTCCAGAGCGCTCCTTTGTTTTGTTTTTTTTTTTTGTTTTTTTTCAACCATCCAGTGTTCTTCCACAGAAGCAGAATTCCCATAAAAGCTGAGTGCCGGCCAATCAGAGTGCAAGTAAGGCTTCCTTCGTTAAGTCCCTGCCAATAGTTTGTCGGTGATGTCTTCGGACAGGGCCGAGCCCTTAGCAACACACATGGCAGACCCTCCAACACCTTGACAAAAAGAAATAAATATAAAATATATGTAATATTTCTATATATATTCATAAAACCAAACCCAGGATAGATTTTAACTCTGACGTGTTCTCTCTATAATATAATCAAACTATGGCCATTTTCCAATTGCCAGTCCACATACTTCTGTTTTCGTCTCCATTTTTGTGTATTTTTGCAGTTTTTTTTGAGGGAAAAAAAAGTCTTCAAACCTGTACATCTTATACGCAAGTAAACAAAATGTAAAAGTGCGTGTTTTTTGAATACGTTTTATCCACTATATCCAAAAGTGTTGCAGGCACTTAAGTCCTTCCCAAACATTTGTAGATGTTTTTCGACAGTGGAGCAGGTTGGTTTGGTTATTCCTGGATTCATGTGGGTCGGTCTGTCTGTATGTCTCTGTCGATCTGTCCGTCTGGCGAGGAATGGGCCATCCGGGGCTGCTGCTAGCCCAGGATGTCCAGGTAGACCGGCGTGGCTTTTCCCATGGCAAACAGAACCTTCTGAATGTCCTTAATGTTCAGTCGCTGCTGCGGTTCCCTCTGCCAGCAGCCCAGCATGATGTCATACACCTCCTTAGGACAAATCCGTGGCCTCTCCAGAACCCGACCCTGGGTTATGCACTCAATAACCTGCAAAGGAGAGAGGGCAGTGGAGTGAGACAGACGATTTTCATTGACTGATTGCTTTGGTTTGCTCATAATGAGAAACCAGTGACACTGAGCAGACTGTCCTTTGAGCTTTGAACTAATGAAACCGAGATGAAAGAAATAAACCGAGTGTATTCAGTCTTAAATTTGTTCCATATTAAGGGGTAAACAAGATTTTCTTTTCTGCCCCACAGCACAAAATAACAATAAGACTGTGATATGTGATTGATCATTTCTTTGGACTTGTGCACTAATTAGCCAGATGACTCGCTGCTGCTGTGACAGGTTGACTTTATTATTTGTGTCAATTCCAGGACACTGTAACTTGTCTATTTGTATGTAAGCACTATGGCTGCACTAAAAAATTGCATTTAGAAAGTGTTGTTTTGAGTTTTTTTGTTTGCTTTAAACATTGTCACCACATAATATTCCACACTCAGACACTGATGCCGGCTCAAATATGTTGTTCTTTGTTAGCTTTTTTATCTTTTACAGGTGTAGAATAATTACCGGCACAGCTGAAAAGGAAAAGCAGCGACATATTATGATGTCATGCAATTTCATGCTTTTACAAGCAGGCAGCACAACAGCACGGTGTCAGAACAAAGCATTTCATATTCTGCTGCTATCTGAAGCCTAATTTTCTTGAAAGAGTGTACAACAAACCTAATCTGTGTTTAAATAAATATAATTTTCTATGCTTTTACACGCAAGAGTGTCAACAAAAGGGAAACAACACAAAATATTAAAGCAAACCATGTGGGAAAACCCTTTTTCTGTTGTTCTACCTGTTACATCTGTTTACTGAGGTAAGGTCTACGCTTTTTTTTTTTCCTTGTTTTTTTCAGTTATATCAGTCATATCAGTCATATCTCCTCACCAAAGGAGAACAGACCTGGCAGACAGGCTGCCATGAGACTGAGATGATGAAGCATCAGCTCCTGCAAAGACATATGGAGCCTCTTTGCATAAATTCCCAGATTACAAACTTTACAATGAACCAATAATAAAGGGTGCAGTGGCCATGGCAACAGTAGCAGATAAAACACATGTGAGAAAATAATCATGTTACGCCATGAATGACACTGAACCCAGATCTTTTAATTCAGAGCTGGTTTTGTAACATGTGGAAACTTTTCTGATAATTTCACAACCTACCAAGTGACAAGGTTGTGGTTTTAGATTACGGTGGCAATTTATTTTCCTGCACTTCCTATTACAGACTTACCGAACTGCAATATTATAATTATGTCCTCTACCTACCATTTCCAGTCAGTCATCAAATTAAAATATGGCGACAGGTTTAGGGTTGAGATTAACACAAATAATGAACATTTCCAATGATTATATTAGCAGCACATTCAGAGTTCAGTGCTGTTGTCTGAAATGTTCCACACACAATGATCTATCTTTTTTCTCTCTTAAGCTTTTTCTTTTGTTGGCGTTGACTGTACTGTACTTCCCCTTTTTTGGTTGCCCCACAGCTCTAAATGTAAAAATAATGTAAGAATAACTTTCTTTTAAAACTTATTAAATCCCAATAATAAGAGAGAGACTCAAGTGGGTACCCTTCCCTTAAACACATGCTGAGCTGAAGGTGACAAAATACAGACAATAGATTTCATGAAAAGGGGACATATGCCTTGTTTTTTTATGTTATGTAGATTATGAATGAGCAAATATGTTTCTTTTGTTTTGTTTTGATTGCCAAAACTCATTCACAGACACAATAGTTGACCTACAAAGTAACAATAATTATATCTGGGGTCAGTTACACCCCAGAAAGGTCGAACTCCTCGTCCCAACAATAGTGCTGCATAAAAGGTATTGTAAGTACCAATCACAGATATAGAGCATTTGGAAATCCTTTGTATTTACAGTTAGGGTCTGTGAGACTCTAAACATTATTTTCTGTAGCAGACTTCTTAATATGTCATCAGTTCTGCTTTTTGAGCTGTTACAGGGGGCCCGCAGTCTCAAACAGAACATCAGGAAACTTAGGTCTTCATTTGAAGTCAATATGGCTTCATTTCTGGTTTGATTTTGTCCCCAGCTGTGAGACTTCTACTGATTATGATCATGGAGAACAAGCCAGCAGTTCACAAACTAATATGACTGCAGGATAATCTTTGTGGCATTTTAACATGTGCAAATGAAAATCCAAGACTCTCACTGTGCTTTAACTGTTCGGCAGATTATTTTTCATCAAGGATGACTCTATGACCAGACGTGCTGGTGCTGGAGGGTACATAATAAAGAGCTTTAGTGTGTTGTGCGTATCCTTTGTAGAAACAATATATAACTGCAAATATCATTACTTTTGCTATTAGCCAAGGGAGAGGGAAAACAAGGTTGTGATTTGTCACCCTTAGCTCTGTGATCGCAGCTGGAGCCTATGATCATAGTACAAGGCCTGAGCGCAGCCCCTTTTAAATTAACAAGCCCCTCAGATGGACAGATAAGCGGCGGGATGCTCAGCTGCAGGCTGATGTCACAGACTGGACTGGGAGGCAGGAGGAGCAGTGTTAAACAGAGGAGGTGGAGATGCAACATCCTTGAAGTGCATTATTATATCAAAATGTGAAGACGCAATATAGTTACCATATCAGCTTCAAGGTTGTTTAATATCATCTTACTCCACCTGTCTTACAGTGTCTCGTATATATTCTGTACATATCTCTGTTTGAAATGCACAAACCTTGGCAACACCTTTTTATGGCTGCGCTGCTACGTTCTCCATGTCTCGCACATCGTTTTATACACGTTTCCCCATAAATTACACGTATTTTATATCTTTGGAACCTCCACTAGAACTGAATAACGTTTTGTTGGTTTGAACACTTGTAAACATCAGTCATGCAGCTCCACACAGGAACGTGGTGGAGCCTGCAGGGCCTGTTTGAAAACATGGCCTGTTTGAGACAAGTTCCTACAGCACGCAGGTAATAATTTATCATTGTCACTGATGCACAATTATAATTGTTGGATTAATGTATCACTGTGTAATGTGTTAGACGAATATGGATAACTGAATAATAAGTACAATATTCCAATCTAACACCACCTGAAGACGTTTAGCTATGAAACAAAATACTGTACTCATCTGATTACATTGTGATAGACTTTGGCAATGTAGTTTAATCAGCTGAGTGTTTCATTTAGAGTGTCTCAAAACTCCTTATGCTCAAGATACATAGAAAAGTGTCAAGCCCAAGAACATATTGATGTTTCAATTGAAATACTTATAAGTGCTGCGCACGCAACATGCCAGGTTATTCTTTTAGGTCAATTTAATTTTCTCAATATGCTCGCTTTACAAGAGTAATCCTAATTGAATTTTATTGATTCAAAGCAGAGCCTCCAATGAAAAAACAAACCAATCATGGGTGTTATGTAATGCAGCGTCTTGTCTGGTGGCAAAGCGGCATCAATTTATCACCTCGTTGGGCCAGTGTGAGTCTCAGAGAGAAAGAAAAGAAACAATATGAGGCAGTAGATTAAAATCCAAAATGGCAATGTTCATTTAAATCTACTATTTGAGAGCTCATGCTTTCACTTTGACTAAAGTATTTTCTCACCCGATATGCTCAGTGAGGGTAGGGCCAATCTATTCAAGATCATCCTACTTCTCTCCTCTTTAATAGCACAAGATCAATTAGATATACTGTTTTTATGTTTTTGCAATAAACGCCTTTAGTTTGTGTTTCGAAATGGATAAACAGATTTCAACATTTACCACCAGATAACCTACAATTTTCAATGTGTACACGAATGCCTGCAGCACAGTCTTTGCCGATATATACGTATTGTATCTTGTGGAGGTTTATCTACAAGCTTCAGGCTCTTTGTACCTCATTGTTACCCAGCTGAAACCAAGGCTGCTTCCCATAGGTAAAGATCTCCCACAGGATGACTCCAAAGCTCCAGACGTCGCTTTCCGTGGAGAATTTCCTGTACATGATGCTCTCGGGGGGCATCCAGCGAATAGGTAGCATGGTATGTCCTCCAACCTGAGGAGAAGACACGAGAAGAGATGTTTTAATGCAAATGGAAATGTTGTCGCTAAAACACAGATTAGAAAATTCTGTCATCAACACAACTCCCAGGCGCCTGGGGATTAACTGTCCTTGTATGTAACTGATACGACGGGCTTAACATCTCATGAATGTGTGCTGTGCTGCTGGATGTTGACAGTGATGCGATACAGGAAAATGCTGACTTATCTGCCACCTGCTCTGTATGCATTGAATCATTGGATGTGAAATTCTTGAGGTTTAAATCGCCCCTTTGTTCTTGATGAAAAATAGCAATCTGCAGTCCCTTCTCTGCAGAAGTACCGGCGGTAAGCAGAGAATGAAAAGCTCTCAAAGCTGGAAACTCAATGTATTCTAATCATTTTTAATAAAAGACCGTCTCAATCAAGGGGTTAAGAAAATTACTGAAAGTCTGCTCATACGGACTCTCCTAGTAAAGAAGTTCATATGGCTGGAAATGTGAATAGCTGAATTTAGTTTTATCTGCTCAAAGTAGATGCTAAATATCAAAATACAAACCTTCTGTATTCACGAGGTTTGCATGAAGCAAGGTAACAGCTGAGGCGCAGGAAATATCAGCTGTAAGGGAGTTAATGTCTGCAAACCAGTAGAACGTGAAATGAAGTCTCCCTTACTGTAAACCCTCTGAGGCTGGATATTAATCAATTAAACAATCATCCATTAATCATCCTTGCTCTCAGCTTCCATTAGCAGGCATTGTTTTAAAATCTATTTCCCATTCATGTCACTGGCTGTGCTTTAATCATGGCGGTGATGAGCTGGACAAGACTGATGTGGGAATGAGTGGGTACGTGTGTGTGTGTGTGTGTGTGTTATTGGAATGAGTATTGCAAGTTTCAGCTCAAAATCTTCGGACAGCATTAATTACAGTGATTACTGTGAAGATCAGGAGTCCAAGTACACTTCGACAGATGACGTTATTAACATGCTGCTGTGATTTCATGCGAAGGCTGCTGGAGCTGGAGCTGGAGCCATTGTAGACTTCCCTTTGTTACTGCGCGCTGAACTGTTGCTGTGCATTATGTCTCTTCCTGAGAGAATCACACAAAAACAATCTTCATTTACAGGCCATTTAACGCTTTCCAGAAATTTCAACTGCGCAACTGTCATAACCGTATACGACCACCTGTTATTAATGAGAGCAAAGTTCTTAGAAGACACGATGACAATTGAGCTGACTCCATGAACATTGAGAAAATTCCATCTGCTGACAGAGACCATGAGATGTGTTTAAAAGCCCCAAGGAAAAGAAAAACAGCCAGTGGGCCTTTAGTTTTTTTTTTGTTTTTTTTTTTGTCAAGGTTGCACTAAAAATCAAATCACTTTTACTTTTGCATATATAAGAAATCTGATGGGTGGTCATTCACATTAAATCCACACAAAGTCCCAAAAAACAAAGCACATGCAGTATACAGTATATAAAAAAAACTAGACACAGATAATGAAATGTGGAGAGTACTAATTGAATTGACAGAATTGATAGACTTGAATGAACACTAATAACTCTCTCTCTATATATACTGTATGTATATGGGTAAAAGCGTGATTTAATAATGAGTAAATGTAGATGTTAAAATATGGAAAATGGATTTGCACTTATATAGTCTTACTGACCACTCAAAGCGCTCTACAATACTAGCCATACTCACCGATTCAGTCACACATTCATACACTGATGGAACAGCCATCGGGGGCAATGTGGGGATCAGTATCTTGCCCAAGAATACTTCGACATGCGGCCTGGGGGAGCCGGGATCGAACCACTGACCTTCTAATTAGTGGACCACCCACTCAACTTCCTGAGCCACAGTCAATAGCATGTTTACTTTGCCAAATAGAACCTAATACATATGAGACTACATACTGATAACATAATAGCAGATACAAGGGACAAAGTGGCGTTCCAACTAGATTACTTTTAAGATGTGAAGAACGCATCGTTTTTGTGTGTGTGTATGTGTGTGTATGTGTGTGTGTGAGAGAGAGAGAGAGAGAGAGAGAGAGAGAGAGAGAGAGAGAGAGAGAAAGAAAGAGAAAGAGAGCTAGAAGTTGGTGGTTTGGTTTGGGTTTAGGTCAGTTATGGACACATATTTTTACGGGCTGGACGGAGAGGATTGTCTCTCTTAATGGCTTGGGTGTCTGTGGGATTAAAAAACACTGACACATCACTACTTGCCATTAATTGCCACTAGTGTAGACTGCACACAAGATAAAAATGTAATTATTGTTCTAGTGTAGGTACTAATCCTACCTGATAATGCAAACAAATTAAGAAATGATAGATTTTTAATTCCAAATGTGATTTTATAACACCGCAGACTTATTGTATAGAATTTGTTGTCCTCTCACTTTCTGCTGTCATTTTGTTTTTATCTAGTTCATCTTTTAGTCTTTGCTCTTGTTATCTTCATAAAAATGTCAAGATAACAACAATCTTTTTTGTCAAGATAACAACAAGGTGGTTTTTTATGCCTCTTTGACGTTTTTTGTCCCTAAGTCAGTGGAAGTACGCTTGCAGCATATCAGACACACCTCTACCATCCATCCATCCATCCATCCATCTGAGCTCATTTTCTATGCATAGGCGAGACCAAATCAAATGCAGTCATACATACCATAAACTCTGAAGTCATCATTAGGACAACCTCTTAGCTTGTAGCTGTATTTACCCTCACATGGGTCTTCCACTCTATACGTCTTGGTTACAGCACAATCACATTCATTTTATTCATTCACTCATAAAAAGTTCTATTCCCAACTCCATTTACCAGCTCCAACATCTGTGTGCCTTCAGCTGTGAGCACTGTGTGGCGTTTTAAATATGGAAAAGACAAAACAGAATAGTCTTACTAATTACCTCCTGGTTCCGTAGTGCAGTCATGCTCATTTCCTTTGAAAGTCAGCAGATGAATCTTATTTTATTGGTTATTTTAAAGGCTCTGTAAATGTGATTTTAACATTATAATAATATATTTTAATAATATAGCAGCAAACAACTATTTTCTATGTAAGGAAGTCACACACTCACTTTGTGTTGCAATCTGTTCTCAATTCTCTGTTCTTTGTTTTGTAGTTGGTCTGGCCGTGTGTGTGTGTGTGTGATCGTGAGTCCAACACATGTGGGCCACCCACATACGAGATGGCACAGTGCCGTACGCAACGTTCAGATGAAAGTGACCTTCCAGAATTTCCTCCTCTGAGCAAACCACATTTTCCAACTATACAGATCTTCAACAAAGAAAAAGACAAGACCAGAGCACAGGCGGACTAGCCATGGGCTCAAAACCCAACATTAAAACATCCATACATCATGTTTTTACCGATCACATCAGCATCTTTACTGGCTCCGTCATTCAGTGTTGACTGTTTTCATTAGTGACCGGCAACAGTTGGCATGATAACATTAGCTAACTTGCTGTTACCAGTAAGCCTATTATGAATGTTGCTATCGCTAGTTGGCTTAATACCAGCACTGCTGTGGAGCATATCATGTAGGTAATGCCAACGTGGGCTAATGGCTGTGACTACATTGTTTTTTGCTGGCTTTCATACACAGGGTAACTCTATTCAGTTGTGCTTCTTGTTGTGTGTTTGGTGGCTGAGAACATGTTCGGAGGGGAGGGGGAGTTATGGCTAAAGGGAGGCCTGACTCAGCATTTGTTTTGATCTGACTTCAGATAAATATTGGTGTGTAAATGACATTTCTGCATCAGTTTGCTGACTTGTGGGTCTTCTCTATTTTTGCTACAGTGACACAGCATTTTAGTCAGGTAATGTCACTTCTAGGGCTGAACGATTAATCTCATTTTATGATAATATCGCAATATGATAAAACAAGATTTTCTATCCATAAAAGGCTGCAGTTACACTCTGGTCATGTGGCATGCAAGTGAGAGTAGAGCAGTCGGCTAAAAGAGGGAGCGACAACTTGGCACGCTACACTTTGACCTGTTGTATAATGGCTTTAGGCTCGACAGAACCTGGCACTGCGGAAACTTTAGTGTCTAAGAGGAGCAGTACGTCGGTTGTGTGGAACTATTTTCATGGTTAAAATGCCGACTAACAGTGTGTCAGGTAAGCCAAATACCACACGACAAGGATCACTGACTGAGATGTTTGAAAGCATAACTCTATATGAACGTATTTAAAACGGCACAGGGAAATTACTCGGGCAATAACAGAGTTCATAGGGAAAGATACAATGCCTCTCAGCATGGTGACCAAGCTCGGGTTTACGGAACTGATAAGTACACTGGATAAGTGGTACAGCATGCCCTCCTGACATATTTTAGCCAGGCTGCCATACCAGAGCTATATAAAAATGCAAGCTGAGAGTCGCAGTGGAGTTTTTCGCTACTACAACTGACCTGTGGTCAAGCCGTACAGCAGAGCCCTGTCAGAGTCTTACAGTGCATTTCATTAATGAAGACTTCAACCAGCTGGGATCTCCATGAAGAGAACCATGTCTGCATATCGATGGATAATTTTACACGCTTACAAGGCTGTAAACAAATCAGTCAATATACTACTGTGATTGAAGTAGTTAAATAAATATGTAATTCATATCTATTCATGCATCATCTATTTTCATCATGATGTGATGAAATATGGAATATGCCTTGCCTGCAGGAAAGAACAGTTTATGTTATATCTATCTAATATTGCGTTAGTCATAATATAGAATGATTTATTGCTTTTTATTGTTTGTTGAATAATACAGAAGATAAGGAACTTAAAAACATAATCGCATATTAAATTGTAATCGCAATATTGGTATATATATATATATATATATATATATATATATATATTTAAAAAAAAATCACAATTACATTATTTTTTATTACATTACTTTAAAAAAGACACAGCTTTAAATAACTATTCAACGGTGGTGTTACTACAAAACTCAGAGAACCCAGGACATTGCCTTGAAGAACTAAATGGTTCATAACCCT